GTACCAGGGATTGAACTCAGGATCTTAAGCACTTATTCCACTAATTTATCTCTCCAGCCCCTTTTGGGGCTCTTCTCTACCTGGTAGAAAATGTCAAATGGATAAAAAAGTAAGAAGAGTACAACATAAAAGGCGACACTGAGCAAACAGAACAACACCTGAGGCAGTGAGTATGGGCTACCTGTTGGGTTCCTTTCCTTCTTCCAGCTGTCTCTCTATATATACTAATGAAATTATCCAGGAGTAACAGATACCCAGGAATTCTACCCCAGTCATACAGGGCATGCACATTACAAGTGTGGAGCAAGTCTGTATGAAAGTGACTCATTCCTTCATTCACCCACTCAACAAACTAGTGTGCTAGGAACCTGGGAGAAAATAATGAGCAAGACTGCCCTCACCAAGGTGACAGGCTATTGGAGGGAATGAGCTTTAATCAATGTGTGGTACGGTCTTGGAAGAAAAAGCAGAAGTTGACACAAAAGCATGTGGCAGAAGGTCAGAGAAAATAAAATCTTGAAATAAATCATGTTTCATCCAGAACTGAGTAATGTCCCAGAGGTAAAAACGTGTGTATGTGCAAGGGTGGGTAGGATGGGGGCAGGGCACAGGCATTAGTGTGTTTGTCATTCATTCATGTATTGAGTATCTATCATTTACTCTATTTCAAACACTTTTCCTTACAAGGACAACAAAATGAGCAAGGCAGACAAGAAAGGGAGGCACTGTGATAGAAATACAACTTAGGCATGGAGGGAGTGGGCTGGGGGTGAGGGGCAGGAAGTGCTTCTCTACTTAAAAGTAAGCAGAGAGGCCTCTTTAAGGAGGCAATGGTCAAACAGTGATATAAATAAGGAGAAGGAATTTATCAGACAAAATTTGGGGACAAATATTCTTAACAAAAGGATATGGTGCAAATGCTGGACAAAGCTTAGTAAGCTGATGGCAGAAAAGAGGGCACAGGCCTGAGGTAAGACAGGGAGCAAGAGACTATCTGCTAGCCTTTTGTAGACCCCCAGTAAGATTTTTCTTTTCATTGCAAATAAATAATTATTGCTGATTTTATATAGGGAAGTGATAGAATCTAATTTGGATTTTAGAGTCAGGGCCTTGCTATGTTGCCAAGGCTGGCTTTGAACTCCTGGATTCAAGCGATCCTTTTAGCTCAGCTTCCAGAGAAGCTGGGGCTATAGACACACATCTACTGTAGGTTTTAAGATTATTATTCCATGGTCATAGGGAGAACAGACTGTAAGGGAAACAAGAAGCTCAGTTTTTGAGCTTGCTGCAGTGTTCCAGGATGAGCCACTGAGGATTGGACTAAGCTAGTCATGTGGAGATAAAGAAAAGTGGTCATATCAGGACATATTTAGGAGAGAAGCTATGAAGATTTGAGCAAGCAGAGGTGAGGAAAATGAGTGTAAGGTCATTCATTTTGGCCTGAGCCACTTGAAGCTTGTGCTGCTGTGGACTGAGATGGGCAGCCTTATGCTGTGGTGAGGGTACAGGCTCTGAAACTAATAAACCTGGGTTTATGCATAGCTCCACCACTTGGGAATGCTGCTCTACTTCTCCAAGCTTAGGCAATCTTATCTGCAACTTGGAAGGACGTGAACACCTAGCTCACAGAACTAAGGGGAGGATGAAGTGAGATACATAAGTATAGTTTAA